GCGTAAAAAAACCGTGTAAAAAAAGACTTCAGTGTATAACATAAGGAAACAACTGATCATACCATAAAAAAAATTATTCAGAAGTAAATCTTAATACGGAGACCTGACTCTATGCTTGCAGTCCATATTATTTTTTGTATGGGCTGTTCATAAACTACGTTGACGGTTTTTGAGAGGACAGTCTCAAACACAAAATTTAAAAACATGTATGGACCGTAGACATCTGCCAAGCGCTCCCACCCCCCTAAAGCGTCTACGTAGTTTATGAACAGCCCCTTAGTTAAATGCGTTTGGGACATAGGAAAACTTTTGTGGAAAACTAGGAACTAGGAAAACTAGAAAAACTCAGAGTGGACCACTCTACGTGTTTTGCCGTTTTTCCCATTTTGAATCGCCTGATAACCAAGAAATATATTTAAAAACAATGAATTCATATAATTTTGATTGATTTACTTATTAATTTAATCAGAAATCGGAGATAATAGCACGATCGACCAACCGGATTTTTTTTTGTCGCTCTTTTGATGATTCTCATTTGATAAGTGTCCAAAATAAGTTGGTAACATTTTTTTACGATCTTTTTTGGACACTTTTTATTTAATACTTTTTAAGTAAAATCTTAAGGTGAAATCTTTATAAACACGTGAAATACATCTCCCAAAGTTAGATAAACTGATTTGATAAAAAAAATCATTGAATTGTATATTTTAGACCAAATTTAAAACAAGTACACTAACGCCGATTCCTCTTGACAAACATCGAAACATGAAACTTTTTCGATAACATTTTCTAAAACTGCATAAATTGAGCAATTGTAAGCAATTTGAGGTGAACTAATGATCTTGAGACATAGCAAGTAATTGAAAGAATGTAATTACAACATCAACCCAGATGAATTTGAAGAAACTAGACAGTAAGCGAGGAAAATATATGAAAAGGGTCCAAAATATGTAGGGGTCCAATTCAAATTGGTTACCCTACATTATCACTCGACACCAAATTTGATCCTGGGAAATGAGTTTTCTTCATTATTTCAAGGGTTTCTTTTGTATTAATAGTAAAATTACCATTTGTTTTCTTCAAATTTCCAAGACCATTTGAATGGTCTTTAAAAAGTACTTTTTGTAGTTTGGCTACATCTGGAGTTTTGTCAATGTTTTCACAGTGAGACCTCCAGGTTCTTCTGCGTGATTTCCTTAATTCTTTATTGTTTGCTGTAAGGGCCTTTTTATATTGGTCCCACTGTCCAGAAACTTTTGCTCGATTGAAAAGTTTCCGAGTTGTTTTCCTTAGCTTATTCAAAGCTCTATTCCACCAAGGAACATCTCTGTTTGAGAGTTCTTCCTTGTCTGGACAGCTCGTTTCATACGCATGTATGATTTTTCCAGTGATATTTTCTGCTGCTTTGTTTAGTTGTCTGATTGATTCTATTTTATCGTCCAATTTTATATCTGAAGATCGCATGTTCAACTCGTAGCTTTCCCAGTTGTTAATCCTAGGATTTCTGTAGGCTACTTTGATAAATTCACCAGCATTGTACTCAAACACTATATGTTTATGGTCCGATAAAGATTCTTCATCTGAGACATGCCAGTTTCTAATATTTGTCGAAAGCATAGGACTACAAATTGTCAAGTCCAATACTTCTTGTCTTCTTTTTGTTGTAAATGTAGGTTGATCTCCTTTGTTACATATATCGATGTTATCCGAAGATATGTATTCAAAGAGGTCTTCACCTTTTTTTATTAGTATCTGTGCTTTCCCAAAATATATGATGGGAATTTGCATCACATCCAATGATGAAGTGTTTCCTTGGTTACTGCATTACAACCTAGGGGCAAGTCAGCTGTACTCTGAGCTAATATATTTACATTGAGTAACTGTGAGTTACTCTTATTTACTCAAAAAAAAAAATAACGAAGTATCCTCAATTTTACTTTTTTCATAAGGTTATATTTACAAACACACTTACGACAGCCATTCTGAACAGATTTTTTAAATTGCAAGTAAGGTATTTTTCTTTATAATAGCCTCTAGGTAAAACCATTCTTTCTCATGTTTAGATGCTGATGCAAGCTGAAAACGTTTGTCTATGTTCAAAAATCGACATCCTTTTATTTGGACATGCATTAGTAACGAGAAGGATAGTTTTATAACGTATACCGTCGTTAAGTTTTACCCTGATCAAATCCCGTATTCTTATTCCCAGATTATCAAGAACTAATATGTTATTTTCATTCGCGTGAGCAGCTACACTACACGGAAACAAATCCGATTCCATTTTCATGAATAAAAAATCATGAAATGAACAATGCAATCGTAACAATGATTCATGATTTCGTCATGGAAATTCGTGGTTTCATAATGAAGTGCAATCAAGACCGGTACAAGCGTTACACGTACTTGGCAAACCGTGTTCATAAACCGCACTACATAGGTATGTCTTAAATGCCTTTTGTCTTCAATCTTATACAAGTACTGACAGTCTAGTGGTCAAATAATGGGTTTAATGATTTCAAGGTTCTTGGGTTTAATGATTTCTTGGTTCAAGTTTTTGGTTAAAAGTTAAACCCATGAACTTAGCTCATGATTTCAACGCAAAAGTTGCTGATGATATCACGAATATTACTCATGGTGTATTTTCATAACATGAAAATACGCTTTGTTCATGAAATCATGAGTCATTTTTCTCATTTCGGAGATCAGATTTTTTTCCCGTGTAATATGTAAATAAGAAGAGAAAACTGTTCAACTGTGTTGTTCCTATGAACATTTAGTTACGGCTCTGAAGCCGATTGAACCACCTGCACATCCCTATGAAATAACCACCTATCGAAACAGTTCCAGTGCAACCTCAGAATTTGAAACGAATTTTGATAATAAGCTGACTCATATATACACATCACTTCGTCTTTCGTATGTGTTCATTAAGTCAACATTGTCGAACACTTTGTACTTCATGAGGAAATTAATGATAGTTTGTTATTTTATTTCACAACGTATTATATCTTTGATGTAATGTTTTTTTATATTCGCATTCGCAGTATACTTTTAATTTAAAAATTGTATTAGAAATTATGTTCCACTACCCCTAAAGACATAGGCTGCGATGTGAGGAAATAATCTATGGTTGAAGCAACTTGTTCCTTGAATATGGCTTACCAAAGCAATCAACGAATACACTAGAACAATAGAAAATTGCAGCAAGGTATCACCAGATAACTAAATTGTTTTAAACTTCTGTGGAGACAAATTATTCGATCAACAGTTTTCTCTCGTTGACTGAGTTGCTGCGATACAAATTTACATATTGACAACGATATTTATTATTGAGCAACGCGAGTAACTCTGAGTTACTCAAGATTTGCTCAAGCATTACTCATGATTGAACGCTGTGTTGCCCCTAGATTACAACAAACAAAAGGTAGCAGTTTTATTATTGGTTGCTTTGTGGAAGCTGGCATTTGTGCTTTTGAAGTTTCAGGCTAAGACTCACCTGCACCTTCAGCTTAAACAAACTATTCGAAACAAGTTTCTACAAGATGGTAAATCAATTCGACATCTGGACTAAAAGCAATAAACCATAAACTGATGGCCTAGTGCTCCACATATATCTACCTGGCGTTGAGGAGAATAGCGAGCTTGCGCTTGGGATGCCCCTCAAAATAATAAATGGAATATGGTTAATATTTGTTTGCACAGAACTCGTCTGCTGTTTTTTTTTTATCTTTTTCTCAGGTAGGGGGGATTTTAAAATACTGCCTTCCGTATAATGTGCTTGATAATCACTCAACTCCGCTGTTCAGGTGCGACTATCAAGCCATTTTAAAATTTACCAGCATATTTCAATCAGTTTTAGTACATCCAACAGTTTTTCCATTGGTGTTATAATCAACTTATAATTCTAATGAACAAACAATGCACCAGATAAAATCTGAATCTTCCTGGCAATATGCAGCTGTCACTATAAACTATAAGACGACCTTAATTTAGATTATGATGCTGAGAAATTAAATTACGAACGAAGCTGATCACGACGAACGAAATGCAAAGGAAATCCCCTTAGACTTAAGAATCAGCTGATCGTGGTACTATTTGTCGCACCGACCAAAGCCTCCATCGAAGAAAATGAACAATCTTGCTCCAGCAGAAGACTCCCTAACGACACGGCTGCAGGTTTTGCATTGGTTCTCTAGAACAACGGTGCACACCGCACAACGGAAGTGCAAAATATAATTCCATAAACGCTTCTGGTGTCGCACAACAAACTAGTTTTGCGGGGAGGCAAATTTTTCACCCAAGGACGAAAATAGAAGCGCAAATGGAGGAAATCCAATTTACTGTATTTTTTTTTATTGCGTTGCAGCAGTTGTTCGTTTGTCTCTTGCAACGTGCATTGCGGGAAGCGAACCGGGAGATATGCGAGTCAGAGGGATATGAGCGAGCAGCCAGGCAGCCAATTGACGACGGATTTTCCGCTGGGTTGGCAGTACATAGCACCAAACCGGTTGCAATTTTATGCATTGATTATTATGATGATAGTTTTAGCTTTAGTGCCGCTTGAATCGATTCTGCAATTGTGCCATGTTGGCAAAAGTGTGCGGGGTTAATGCGATAATCGGTCGGAATCAAGCAGCTGTTTTGGTGACCAGCCCATTAGGGGTCGTTAATTGGAATTAGGTGCTGATTATAACAGCTACAACGATTATTCATCAGTACTTTAAAATTATGCTTTCCTAGATTTAAATTTTTGATGAGTAATCATTCCGGAGTGAATTTCGCATCATAGGATTGCTAACTTTTTCCCATTTCACGTTCTGTTTCCGCTGTTTCATTTATTTAAATGATCTTTTTGAGCCTTCCACTGGGACTGGCTATGAGCTGCTCAGCACAGTAATGATAACGATGGAAATGATAATGCTCTACCGCTTGATTGCCCCTCCGGTTCGTTACTTCTTTTAATCATAGAAATTACTTTTTCTCTTTTCCCTTTCAGATCAACAACCCGAGCCGCCCAATACCAACTTGAATCACAATGAATTTGTCATATCAACACAGCCGAAAAGACTTGATACCAGATACGTAGCCTCGAGATGGCAACACCGAACCGTTTCATCTAGTATATTACGTAGAAAACATCGCACTTGAATATCACCTAATCTTAGAATCTCGCCTGGATTCGACTCAACTCAACCCACCCGTAGAAACTTAGCAATAATTTTCTGAACATCCCAGGAATTTACCATTCCAAACAAAACCAACATGTCGATCACGGGCTCCCTGGTTGGGTACGAGAACAACAACGAAGTATCGAAGAAGAACCGCTCGCTGCTGAACATAACCGCCACGTCCAATGCATCATCGAAGCAATGCCAAAGTCTCAATTCGAGCATAGCTAATAGTGTAACGATGGGCACCAGCAACCCGTACCGGCACCGGATGGACAGCGGTGGCGGATGTGGTACGAAAAAACCCCGGCGTCTCCACCTAAACACCCTGTGGTCGGTTTGGTACGGGCTTTTGATAACGCTTCTTCAGGGTTATCTGGTGCTCCAGGGAACGCATCGTTATCTCGGCCTGTCCGCACTGACATGGAAGTACGAAAAACCAACAACCGAACTGGACATTCAGATTGTATTCTGCGGATTGGTGGTATTGTTCATGCCACTGCTCCTGGTGGCTGCCTTGTTTCGCGTAGGGAATCTAGCTAATGATGGAATTAAGCTGGCTTCCGGTACCCGACTGTGCTCGTCTGCGCCCACCGATGGACTGGAGGAGGAGGCCTTCGAGGGAACGTTACGGTACGTACATAAGATAGTGCTTTGTTGTCATTTTGTCATGTCCACATGAAGGGTGCTCCGTTTAATGGATGAATGAACTCCATACATTCGGTCTAATGCATGCATTGCCTTACCGTTTATGAGACACGACTTCATCAGCTATTTCTTTCCTAAGATTTGCGCTAGTGCTTTCTGGAAAACTTTTCATGAAATAGCAAGCATCACTAATCACTAAATAACGATCTCAACAACGGAAAGGCAGTGTAATACGTTTCCAATCAGCATCATTATCAACGCTAATTTACATTCTGCATGAAAGTGGCTCATGGTTGTAGAGTAATATCATCGATGAACATACAGTTAAACTATTTTAATCTAGTATCACCAGGGTTGTGAAAATCACAAATATCACGCCAACCAAATATCAGCTCTGATTAAAAGTCATTTGATATTTTTAAATACGCCACTCATTTGAGTTATTGACAACCCAAGCAATGCAACATTACAACAACTTATTCTTGTCTTTTTTCACTCTCGAAGGATGAACATGCACTTTCCATTCAATGAAACGAAATACGGAGATGAACCAGCCTGCGGCTGAAAATCTCCTAAATATAGATAATAATAATGAAACGAAATACACAAACGTTTCGTTTTAAGTACAACTCCTTTGAGTGGTATCACTGTGCGCCAGCTACCACTCAGCCAATAGTAAAGAGTGTCCACGATGAAATTGCCACACTATGAAATTGCTCTAACTTTTTAACCGTTGGGTAGAATTTAATGAAAATTTGGGTGGATTTAGTTCATAGTGCATTATTTACATCCTGCATGTTTTAAAGTCCTGTGATCAAAACTCGCGGAAATGGAGTCGAAAGAACAGCTCGTGCGTGATAAAATCTTGCGCATTCATCACGAGAACAAGGATCTCTCGCATCGTTCCATCGCTAAAACGTTGGGAATCGCGAATTCCACGGTGTCGCGAGTGATTAAGCGGTTCGAGGAACGGTTGACCACCGATCGGAAGCCCAGAAGTGAAGGAAAAAGTATTCCGTACAACACCAAAAATCACAACCGCGTAGTTGGGGCCTTCAACCGAAATCTGAACGCCTCCGTTAGGGATGTGGCTAAGAAGCTGCACCTAAGCCGAAGTTTTGTCCAGAAGGCCAAAACTAAGGCTGGGCTTCGAACGTTCAAGGTACAAAAGGCCCCTAATCGCGACGAGAAGCAGAACAAGTCCGCCAAAACCCGTGCCAGGAAGTTGTACCTCAACATGCTGACGAAAGTTGAATGCTGCATCATGGACGACGAAACATATGTGAAGGCCGACTTCAAACAGATCCCCGGCAACCTGTTTTTCACGGCCAAGGATAAGTTCAGCGTTCCGGAGCATGTCCGCACTCAGAAGATGTCCAAATTTGCGAAGAAATTCCTGGTCTGGCAAGCCATCTGCACGTGCGGGAAGCGGAGTGCACTTTTCGTGACCCAGGACACGATGAACGGACAGGTGTACATAAAAGAGTGCCTCCAGAAGCGGCTGCTTCCTCTCCTGAAGGCCCACAACGTCCCAACAATCTTCTGGCCGGATTTGGCCTCATGCCACTACTCCAAGGACGTGCTGAAGTGGTATGCGGACAATAAGGTCAATTTCGTGCCGAAAATGTTCAACCCTCCCAAGACTCCGGAGCTCCGCCCCATCGAGAAGTACTGAGCGATTATGAAGCAGCACCTTCTTAAGCGACCTAAGGTAGTGAAGACAGTCGAGGAACTGAAGAAAGTATGGGTTTACATGCAAAAAACGGTTGATTCACAGGTTGTGCAGAATCTTATGGCCGGGGTTAAGGCCAAGGTGCGGGCATTTGCGTATTGACTGTAAATAAAATACGAATAAAATGGTAAAATGAAGTTTAATAGTTATTTCTCAATCCCTGAAAATTTGATGGCAATCGGATGAAAACTCGAATTTTGCGAATCAATTTTGTGTGTGGCAATTTCATCGTGGACACCCTTTACATTCTATATGCGCGTGTATTGCTGTTCCGAAAGTGAGGATAAAAATAAAATTAACAAACCAATATATTTGACTGGAGCGAAAGTGAGGATAACAAACTTCTCACTTGAAAATGGGATTACTCAAGTGTGCGTGTGAAAAACAAACTGCCAAAACGACCGACCAGCAGCAAGCAGCTATAGACCGTTTTGACGTTTAATGATCTTTCTCTATCTAGCACACGGATATTAATGGAGTAATTGTTTTCCCACTAATCTGTTCCCCTCCTGCTTGCACTTTTTCGATTAAGATAGTGCAGTAGTGTGCGCTGATTAAACGTCAAAATGCTCCATAATCAAACCTAGCGCCTATGTTCAGATAAACAGATCGTGGGTTCTAAATTTACCGCCTCTTCCTTTCCTAAGTTGTTCTTATGGAACGTTTGCGTGACATCACAACAACATTCTGTAAGAGTAACAAGGAAAAAGATACATTTCAAATTCATGTTGCACCACCTGATTTTTTTTCCGCTCTTCCTGGCAAGATGACATAAATTTAGCCGCTTAGATCTCTGCGTTGCGCGTTGCTCCATTTTCACATTTTTTTTTTCTCAAGTTTACACTCACTTGTAGCAGACCAGTAGATAAAGAACACTGAGAACACTGAAAATATCATAATGACAAAAGGCATAGCCAATGAACTCACGGTTGATTCAAAACCCGTGCGGGTGTGAGTGTTATAAGTAGAGTGACAGAAAATCTCACGTGAGTTTTTATTATGACTCAAGCGAGTTTTTCTATCATTTGAGATTGTAAGGATTGATGTGTTGAGAGAGTTACCATTGCATATCACAAGTGATAGCGGATCTATTGTAAGAGCAAATTGATATTTTTTGTATCATGAGTAGAACAACACTGAGTATCACAAATGGTATTATTTGAGTGCAATAGATTAAAGAGTACAACGGTAGTACCATAGAGGTAACTCCAAGACCAGTAGGTCCCGAAGAAACGTGCTCAACTTTTTGGCTCAGCCCTGATGAAGATGATGATGATGATGGTCCCACCTCTTACCCATACAAATGTTTGAGCTGGACGATTTATCTTTAAGATAATTGAATATGACATTTTAACCAGATTAACAAACAAAATCAAACTGGTTACAATTACAGATATAAATTCCCTCTAGAGTTTACAGCCCAAGTAACAATTCTGCAATCATTTGGAATCCATTTTGTTTTCTGATGGTTTTATAATGGCAATGAATAATCCTTTTAGTTTAAAAACAGCATTTCACAGTGTAAGACGTTCCTGCTTAGTAGTTCCCCTTTTCGTTGTTTTAAAAACCTTCTCCAGTCTGGCAAGTAGTCAAAAACTGTCTTGTTTTAAAGTTTAATTTAAAGTAGTTCTCAATCCCACCATAAAACTGTTCTATAAATCAATCGTAAACTTCATTAGCATTTTTTTTATTAATGCCTGGATAAAATACTCTATAAACCTGTTCTATCATTATCAAAGCAATCATAAAACCATTTGGTTTTAAATGAGAGTAAAGAGGTGGGAGTGTGCAGTGCAGTGCAGAAGAGTAAAAGGCGGCATATATTGTTGCCTTTTAGGCTTTTAAAAGTGTATCATAAAATTTCCTCTATTTACAAATTGAACTGTAAGGATGGATCCTCCTAGTGCATAAAAACCAAATTTATGACAAGGATATCTCGAAGGATACACGAAGTTGAAGGAAAAATTCAATTCGATTTCGGTAAAATTAAGTTCTTTAGAAGAACCGGCACGTCCGGCGGAACGGGTACCATCAACGACTGAGCATCTGGTGGAGAAGAGTGAAGTGAGCGTGGTCCTCAAATTCATAAAACATTGTCAAAACAGCCTGAAAACAGACCAGTAGACTGATGCAAAATTTGAAATTTTCGCTCCACAGTGCTCAAACGGTTCCAAATTGGGCCTTAATTAGCCTCCCAAAATTTGAACTCATTTAGTGAGAAACTGACTAGGCACAAACCATTTGAAGTTTATATGGGAATTACTATGGAGAAACTATAATTTCAATTCATAACTATCTCAAAATTCACCAGTTTACTCAACTTTTTAAAATTATAGCTGAATTTGTTGAAAATTTACTCAGCTACAACTTTGTTGAAGACTAATTTTCAATCAAATGTAAGAAACAAAAGTTATCAATGATTCAAGTCACTAATGTCTTATGATTATGCTCAATCATCTGTTCAGCAGGCAACATTGGTGTTTCCCAAGCAACACAATTTGTCATAAACGGGTTTACATAACTTATTTATGACAATATGAGCGGTAAACATTTAAGTCTAGTCACTTATATACAACTTATTTATAACGAAAAAAGCGCAAGAGGTGGGATCTATATATAACATATGCTTGACTTGCGCAACTAATTTATGACTATAACGCAACCTACTGTATTGGACATGTTGTAAATTAATTTCATCCTTCCTACGAATGGAATTTGTTTTTCATAAAATTTCCACAACTTATTCTGAAGAATTTTATCGTGCGCATAAAGTTCCTAAACTGATATTCTGTACTGCAAACATGTATGCGGTTGCAAATTTATGGTAAATCTTTACATTCTACTTCTAAAAAACTCATTGACTCTTAGAAAAAGCTCAATATAATAATAAATGATATAATAAAAAAATCTGGATAAAATTCCCCACCTTTGCAAAAACACAAAACAAATAGAATATCAACTTTCTTTTTTAATTACCTTACTTTTCTCTTTTACAAAACGTACATGTGATGTTGAAGTTGAAAGCACAAATTAAATGTTTTTTTCATTCTATACATTGCTTCATTGGTCAGCCATATTGTAGTGCAGTTTGTAGAATGCATTGAGAAATTTCATAATTGTTATCAAAACATGTTTATAACACGAAAAACAAGAACATTACATGTATCGTATATTGAAGTTATAATTAGGCATGGCAACTCTCAATTCCTTATTTATAACACTTTTATAACTGATTGTTTCTGATGAAAACTTG